GCGGCAGCGCGCCGGGGCGCGGGGACTGGGCGCAGGCCACCCGGTGCCAGCGGGCGGCATCCTCGTGCTGGGCCAGGATCAGGACTCTCTGGGCGGCGGCTTCTCGGCGCGCGATGCCTTCAGCGGCAACCTCACCGGCTTCCACCTGTGGGCTCGGGCGCTGAGCCCCGCGCAGCTGCGCCGGGCGCGGGCCTGTGCGGCGCCCCCCGGCGGCCTGCTCTTCCGCTGGGACCTGGGCGCCCTGGACTTCACGCCGTCGCTGCTGCCGCCCCTGCGGGTGCGCCTTCTCTATCCCGGTACGGCCCGCCCCGCCCCGCCCCCTGGCTGCTAGGCCCCGCCCCACCGTTCGGCTCAACGCCCCGCCCCCTGGCTCCTGTAAGCTGCCTTCTGAGCTCGAGACCCAGCCCACCTCTTGCGAACCTGGCCACGCCCAGCTCTGGTCACGCCCTCCCCAAGCGGGTCGGGCAAATGCCCAGTCTCAGTAGCCTGAGTGAGTAGGGTCACCGCGTAGCGTCCTTGACCGGCCTTGTGCTGGCTACAGCGCCCTTCACCCGGGTTCCCACGTTGCCCCCTAACTCGGGGGCTGTGCGTCCTGGCCCCCTACGGTGTACAGGTGCCTTCAAGGCCCGAACAGGCCGGTGGGTCACAGGGGCTGCTTGGGAGCCAGGTACATCCCTGACACCTGTCCCATCCCTGCCAGTGCCCTCAGAGGAGTGCCCTACGTGGAACCCAGGATCCCGTACCGAGGGCTCTTTGCTCTGCCTTCAACCACGGCCCTTCCTCTGCTGCTACCGGACAGGTGCGCCCTGGCAGTGCCCAGGGCCCTGCTGAAGGGGAAGCCGGGTATGGACCAGTGTAGGCCAAGGCGGAGAGAGCAGTTGGTACAAACGGGGAATTCAGAATATTCTTAAAGTCTCAGGGTCTCCACAGAGTCCAAACCACAGGACAGTGGGGCCAGACAGACCCGGAGGTGAATCCCAGCTGTGTGTCCTTGGGCAAGTGATTTTGCCATTGTATGACTCAGTTTCCCCATCTAGAACACTGTAAGGCTCCAGAAACACAGCTGCCAATATGCTCTTCCTCCCTGGGCAGCAAATGGTGGATGGGGCACCCCTGGGCCATGTCGCTCGAGCGTCCATCCATCCTCTCCTTTGCAGAGACTTATCAGCGGCTGCAGGACGCCCAGTCATGGCCTGGCCAGGATGTTATCAGCCGAGTCAATGCCTTGGCCGACACCATTGTGGTGAGCCCCCCTTCCAGGGGGCCGAAGAGTCTGGGGACACTATGGGTCACCTCCCTGCACCTCAGTTTCCTCACCTATAAAGGGGACACCCACCTGTCTTCAGCAATTAAGGTTGTTCATATTCCCTATTTTGGAGCCCTTGAGAGCCGGGGGCTTATGATACGTTTGACATGTGCCCACCAAGAAGACCCTAGTGGGGCCCAAGCGGGGCCCCTGGGAGGTCTCTCCTAACAGCCAGACCAGCTGTAAGTGGCTTCTCTGCCCACAGCTCCTCACGGACCCTCTCTCTGAAGTCCATGGACACCTGTCGCCCGCTGAGGCCTCCAGCTTCCTGGGTATCCTGGAGAGAGTCCTGGCAAAGGAGGCAGCTCCCCTGGGGCCTGCTGCATTGCTGGCCATTGTGCACTTCCTGAAGAGGGTGACAGCCCTCGGGGCTGGGGAGCCAGAGCCCTTAAGTGGGCCCTGGGAGCAGGTAGGCCGGGGCATTGTGTCTGTGGCCAGCCTGGTCCTGGAGGAGCAGTTGGCTGGAGCGTGGCTCTCAGTCAGCGAGGTGAGGCTGGCAGGGCTGGGGGAGGCGGGCGGGGGGCCTGGGCTCCAGCTCCATCCTTCCCCCCAGCTCGTGTGGCCATGGGCCAGTCAGTACCCATTGCTGCGCTCTAGCTCTCCATCCATCAGAAGAAGCTCCTCTTAAAAAAAAAAAAAAAAAAAAAAGATTTTATTTATTTATTTATTTGAGAGAGAGAGCACAAGCAGGGGGAGCAGCAGAGGGAGAGGGAGAAGCAGGCTCCCTGAGGAGGGAGCCTGATGTGGGACTTGACCTGGGGACTCTGGGATCCTGACCTGAGCTGAAGGCAGACACTTCAACCAACTGAGCCACCCAGGAACCCCAGAAGCTCCTTTTTTGTCTATTACAGAAGTTGAACTTCCACACACAACCACTCTTGAGTAATAATTTCTGCAGTTGGAAATAAGAGCCACTAATCCATAAGGACCTCCCCCATATCCAAGAACCTGGTGACCCCCTTAAGAGGGAGGTCTTCTATGCTGGGTGTTCAGCCATCTTGTCTTCCAAAACAGCCCAGATGCTCAGGAGAACAGGATAGCTGCTCTCCAGAGAAGTTGTCCCATTACTGCACGCCCTCGCCCGCCCATGCCTGGGCCTCACCCCCCACATGGCTTCTCTTTTGGAATCTAAAGGTTGAGCACCTTCTGTAGGTCTAGCACTGAGACCAAAGAAGGGGGAGGCACGAACCCCCCTTCAGAGTGTGCCCAGTTGGCCAACGACCAGCCAGTAGGCACAGAGCACTGGGAGGCCTTCGCCTGGGCTAGGCAATGCTGTGGCTCAGGAGAGGCTCGGAGAGGTCAGAGGAGGCCCATCGGGCCAGGCCTCAACACCAGCCTGAGGACCCAGGACTTGATCCTGGAGGCCCTGAGGAGCCACCAAGCATCTGCAGCAGGGAGGCCGCTTCACCGATTGATCGCTGGGAATGCGTTCACCACAGCAGACAGAGTGGGGGGCAGCAGGGTGCGGAGCGGGAGGGAGCTGAGATGCGGCTCCTCCCAGGTGGTCGGCAGCCCCATGGCCCTGGTGGCAAGTGTACGGCGCCTGGCGCCCCTGCTGAGGCCCGTGCTGACCTCCGAGCGGCCCCGACTGCACATCCAGTGCTGGCGAGCCGATGAGCCTGCTTAGCCACCCATCCCACACAGCTGGGCCCTGCGCGGGGCCGAGGCTCAGACGTCTCTTCTCAGCCTCCATCACTTTCATTCTGTTTCCTGCCTTTGCCCGAGCCCTGCCCTCCCTCCAGATGCCCTCTCTCCCGTGACCTCCTAGCAAACTCCTATCTATCCTTCAGAACCTTGCTGGAGCATCAACTTCTCCAGGAAGCCTTGCCTGGTTTTAGCTCTCTCCTGACAGTCAGTTCCTCCTTCCGCTCTCACCCCGGCGGCTTGAACATATCTCTTGTTGCATTTGTGGTAATGACCTCATTCCTCCTGAAGCTCCCTGAGTGCCAGGACCATTTCTGAGTCATTTCTGCATCTCAGGCCAGACCCAAGTACACACTCAGTGAGTGTTTGTAGATTGACTGGGGCGCATATGGTGGAACTTTGGCAAAAACTGTGTCCTTTGGGCACCCAGTGGTTTCTGGGGGCACACTGATATTTGGTTCCTGGCCCCCAGGGACCTGCCTCTCAGTGATCCTCTGCCCTGGACTTGAAGAAGTCAGACTTACCTTGGGCGAGGTGCTGAGCCTCTCTGAGCTGGATTAGTGGCCTGGACCTGTGGCCAGGAGAGGGGAGGCGGACCCTGCTGGCGGGGGCCAGCTCAGCAGAAAGACCTCCCTCTGGAGGTCCAGCCACCCAGCCCCGTTTGATCCCAGGTCTGGAGGTGCAGAGCCTACACTTGAAGGAGGCCAGCAAAGAGGGCTATGTGGTCACGATGCCCCATGGGCATCCGGAGGGGCCCAGCCACATCCGCATCCCCGCAAGTGAAGTGAAGCAGCTCCTCGGGAAAGGTGGGTAAGGGGGACGGGTGGGGAGTGGGTCCCTCTTGGGGTCTGGGTCAGCCCTCATGTTGCTAACTCCACTACTTTGAATAAGTCACCTCACAGTTCAGAGCCTGTTTCCTTATCTGTAAGACTGTCCTCTTTGTACTTGCCTTGTGGGTTGTTATGAGGTTAAAAGCACTTGTCACATAGTAGGTGTTCACTGAGTCTCCTCCACTGAACTCCATGCATTTCCTCTTGGAAGTGGGTGGTGGAGGGAGCCTCCACCCTTGCTGCCACCCGGGGCTGGAAATCAGGACATGGAGCCAAAAGCCTTAGAGCTGTCTGGTTAAGTGCATGAACCATGGCTGGTTGGAATTCCAGTTCTACCACTTATTAACTGTGTAATCTTTGGGAAGGCAGTTAATCTCTATGAGCCTCAGTTTCCCTATCTGTAAGGTGGGCAGAGCAGCTCCCTCGGGGCCAACCCGTGGCACTTGCTCAGTCACAGGGTGGGGTCTTGGGCCCCCTCCCCCTCATCCAGGCCTCTCCAGAGTCACCGTGATCCACAGCTGGTTCAGCTCGAGTGTCTTCCAGCACACCCTAGGGGATCCTGGCCTAGAGCCCCAGGCCTCTCACAGCTCAGAAGAGGCAAGCAAGACACAGAGGTGAGTGGGCCCCACCCAGTAGGCTGCTGAGGGTCTGGATCCCCTCCCCAGAGAAGGCCAGGCCTCCATCTCATCCCAGAGCCCTCATTCTAATAGGTACATCTGCCTTTAGCAGCCAGGACCAAACCCTTCCCTTCCCCAACACACACAATCTCTCTGGGCCTGCCAAAGGCGTGCCCCTGGAACCTGGCTTGACGACGGTCTGGGGTCCTGGCTTCAGTACTGAGACTCAGTCAGAAGACAGGGCTTACTGAATTTACTAGCAAGTCCCCAAAGCAAAACTGGAACCCATGTGCCCTAATTCCAAGCACAGGACATTTCCTGATGTTTCTTTGGACACAAAGAGTATCATCTCCCCCTCTCCAGGCCGTCCAGGACCTCTCCCACACAGCCAGCTGGTGCCCTTAAAAGCTCCCTTTCTCCCCGCAGGTTTCTAAGCACCCGGGTGGGCTCAGCCATCATCTCCTCTGAGGTATGGGATGAAACCGGGGAGGTCAGCAAGGCCGTGACCTTTCACCTACAGCACCAGGCCCAGGTACTGGGCAGGGGGCGGTTTCTGGGAACTGCCACCCCACTACACTTATCCTGGTTTGATGCCCCCTACCCCAATATTCATTCATTTAAACCAAGATCTAAAAATGTTCAAGAAAAATACCCATTCACAAGCTACCCCATTGTCTTCAAGGGAACGGAAAGAGAAGTAGTATATTCCACATTCCCTTTATGCTGGGTGCCTTAAATAAGCAACGTTCATGTAATTCTCCAACTGCCCATTCGACATAGGCAAAAAGTGAGCTTGGCAGAGGGGCTGTGATGGGCCCCAGCTTGTAAGCGGCAGAGCTGAGATTTCATTATACGTGCGCATGACTCGAAACACTGGTGGTTCTCATTGGAACATCCAGGGAGATGTGCAGAGGTCTGCATGGCAACGTGCTCCTGAGATCTGGAACAGTCTTAGTGCCCACCAAGGGGGACTGCGCAAAAAGCCACGTGCAGCTACGCACTGGAATAACCTGCTAGGGTTATGCAAGGAACAGGTCTTTTTCTATAACCTGACAGGGAAAGATCGCCAAGAAATGTTGCTTAATTTCATTACATGAAATACACAAATTCCTTCCTGCTTTTGAAACATTAGTTTCAGAGAAAGCTAAAGTCAGCTTTGCCCACAACCACGAATCCTGGACACGTACACACATGTACACATACCCCACAGTTTATCAGTCTTTGGTATGTCATCCCAAGATTGTAAAAATCAATTTGATTGAAGCAGATAAATTTCCATACACTAAAAGGTCCATTTTAAGTATACAACTTGATGGGTTTTGACCAGCATATACACTCAGGGACCTCTGCCCTAACCAAGGTAAAGACCGTTTCCACCTTCCCAAAGGGCTTCTTTGGCCCCCATGCCAGGCAATCTTCCTCCCCTTTCATACCAGGGAATCACGGGATCTGCTTCTTGTGACTATAGATTCTGTCTTTTCTAGTGTTTCCCATAAATGGAATCATAGTATATGCTGTGCTCTAGCATCTTTTGTCAGCTGGGGTTTTTGAGAATCATCCATATTGTTGCCTGTTTCAATAGTTTGCTCCTCTTTTTTTTTTTTTTTTGAAGATTTTATTTATTTATTTGACAGAGACACACAGCGAGAGAGGGAACACAAGCAGGGGGAGTGGGAGAGGGAGAAGCAGGCTTCCTGCGGATCAGGGAGCCCTATGTGGGGCTCGATCCTGGGACCCTGAGATTATGACCTGAACTAAAGTCAGACGCTTAACCAACTGAGCCACCTAGGTGCCCCAACAATCATCCATTTTAAAAGCAAATAACAGGTTTTCTTTGTGTTCCCAACACCTACCATAGGATCGGAGACCTAGGAAAAATATTACAGATGAATGAATACACTGGATGATAATTCAGTCAACCCAAGAAATACTACACCCTCGAGAGGCATCATCACAGAGTGGTGGAAAGAGCATGACCAAGTCAGGACCCACCCTCAGCTCTGTGCTGTGTGATCTTGAGCAGATTAATGTCCGTCTCTTAAGCTCAGTTTCCTCATTTGAAATTACATGAATTTATACCTGTCTCCTAGGTTGCTATGAAGATCAGTCACAATAAAGGACATGAAAAACATGACACAGAGTCTCATATTCTAGTGAGGTGACACTGCTGTTACCCTTTCCAGTCGGGACACATAGCCCGAGTCCTGAGCTCAGGTCACTTTCCCTGCCTGGACTGGGGCTGGTACCACCGGTTGCTTAGTGACATCTTATAAAATCTATGTTGTTGTCATTGTTTAATTACAAAAGTACTAATATGTTCATTATGACACATTCAAACTGAAACCTAGCCATGGTTAAATTAGCTGTGCATTTAATCCCAGACCTTTTGTGTGAGTGTTCACAATTATATAGACCAGATATATATATTTTTTTACATAAATAAATTCATATTATACATGATGATGTGCAGCTTTTTTCTTTATTGAGCAATGTATAACGGAGCTCTTTCCCTGCCAGCAGATAGAGACCTGTCTGTTCATCTTACCAGGTGCAGAGCATCCCAAGAGGGATGTCATGGTGGTTTAACCGCTCCCCAAAGGATGGGCATTTAGCTTGTTCCCAGTATTTCAATATTATACATGATGTTAGCAGCAAGCCTCCCGCCCTTCCCTCCCCTCTGCCTCCCCACTGGCCTTTTTTCCCCGCTTCTTCACCCATGACCCACGCTGGGCAACCCCTGGTCCCTCCAACTCAGAGGCCTCAACATCCCCCTGCATCCTCCTGGTCTCTCCTCTCCATACTCGTTCGCACACCTGCATGCCCCCCATACACACTCACACACCTGCTCTGTTCCTGTTTCCTGCCCTCAGGCCTTCCCACAGAAACTGGTGGAGCCTGTCTGTGCTTTCTGGAACTTCAGTAGCGGGTGAGTTTCCATTTCCAAGTTCTTTAATTAAGGCAATTTGGTGTTTGTTTTTTTTAAGCCATCCATTCTGCTTGAGGATGAGGTGTGTTTTTGGTCTCCAATCACCACCTGTCTTGCCTCAGGCCCCTCCCCAGCCCCAGCACAAGCTGGAGCAAGAGAATCTGTTACCCAGGAGGAAGTAAGCTCCCCGTCATGGGAGATATGCGAGCTCACTCTGTGGGGTGCCTAGGAAGAGACCCATCTGTCAAATAGGTGTTAGATTTGATGATATATCCAAGGCCAGGGCCCTTGGGAATGTGAAGGAGCAGAGGAGGGTTCAGAGCTGAGCCCCAGCTCCCTGCCCTGGATCCTTAGCTGAACATCAATCACTGTCACTTAGTAATTAATGCAATTAATCAGTTGTAATCACTGGTATTGGCCCCATGGCCCCCTATCATCCCTGAGAGTGTTAAGTGCATTTTACAGATGGGAAACTGAGGCTTGCCCAAGGTCACAAAGCTGGCTGGAGGCAGAGCAGTGATGGGCCCCAAGCTTTGGAAAGAGGCTTTCCCCGGCTTGCCAGCTACCCCCACCCCCACCCCATTTCAAGAGCCCTTCTGTTCCCTGCCCTCCCCCCAGCCCAGACACAGGGCTCTCGTGGGCCCCTACTGGCTGTTCTGTGGCCACCGTGTACGAGGACTCGACTGCCTGCTTCTGCAACCACAGCACCAACTTTGCTGTCCTGTTGCAGGTGTATGACGTCCAGGTGAGTCCCAGGGAGGTAGCGTTGGGCGGGGGCAGTGGGGAGGTGATGTCGGAACCAAGTCTTAAATGATGACCAAGAGTGGAACAGAAAGACATTCGCAGCAGAGAGTCAGTCTGAGCAAAGGCAAGGAGACTAGAAATGGCAGGCAGACTGAGCACATTCCAGAACTTCGATGTGTCTGGAGCTCCCGGTGCCAAGCCCAGGAGTGGAAGAAGACGGAGGGACAAGTGCAGGGGTCAGATCCCAGAGCCCAGGATGCTCATGCACTGGGCAGGGGACCAACAGGAGCACGTTCCACGGGCGTTGGATTTGCACCGAGGGCGCCCTCTGGTGCCAGGAGTGAGCTGGAGGCGCAAAGAGCAGCGAGGGGTCTGCGGGGCAGAGCACAGGGGCCCGGCCTGGGGGGACAGCGGGCAGATGGAGGAGATGGGACTGAGGGAGGAGGAGGTGGTCTGGGACAAAGGCCTGGGTAACTGGGGGATGAGGGAGGCATCTCAGCGAGGGCACAGGAGGGTGACGGGGTGGGGCCGGCCACGGGGCCGAGGGCGACGGGGCAGGAGAGGGCTCAGCGGGAGATGAAGAGCCTGCAGGTAAAGCCGTGGCTGAGATGAGGTCAGAACAGGAGACCGAACCAAGGGAGGCCCCTGGGAGGACCCAGCATTTACACCCAGTTCCGGGAGGAGAGCAGGACAGGTGTGCTCACTAGAGCTGGCAAGGGACTCAGAGGGGTCACTTGCTAAGAGACTGAGTGACACAGGGCCAGAGGCTCAGGATGCCCTTGGCGTGTTGGGGAGCACACTAGAGAAACTTGCTCTCAGACACATTCGTGCTGTGAAACCAGAGCGGGGCCATGTTTGCCTGTCAGCTTCACGCTCCCCCCCACCCCAGTGTGTGTGTGGGGGTGTCACCTCCCATCCAGTGCTCTCAGGAGCTGTGGAATCAGTGAAAGCTGGACTGATCAGGGCCAGGTTAGGGAGAGCTAGCAGGAGAGGACATGAAAATGCTGTCTTATTAAATGCCTGCTGTATGTAAGCCTGGCCTTGCCGCCTGGGGCTGTTGCCATCCCTGCTTCACTGCAGACAAGGAGGCTCGGGGAGCCTTGCTGGACCGGGACAGGGTGAGGCCTGGTCTGCTCAGGTCAGGGCGGTGACAAGGTTACTGTCCTCTGGGGTCTTCGGCCCTCCTGCAGAGGAGCGCCGAGGAAGAGTCACTGCTGAGGACGCTCTCATTTGTGGGTTGTGGTGTGTTCTTCTGCGCCCTGGTCACCACCTTCTTGCTCTTCCTGGCAGCTGGATGAGACGAGCTCCGGGCGTGTCCATCGTCGTCCCAGAAGACCTTGGTCCAGGGTCTCCCTTAGGGCTGTGGGCCCCCTGTGGAGCTGCCATCTCTGTCTTCATTAGCTCACCCACGGGGACCCGAGCAGGCAGAGGCTGATAGCGGGTGGGGGCTGGTGCTGGTGTCCTTGTGACGGACTCCTGCCTGTCCAGGGTCCCCAAGTCAGAGCGAGCCACGGTCCACAAGAACCTCACCTTCTCCCTGGCCTCTGCCGAGGGCTTCCTCATGGCCAGCGAGTGGGCAAAGGCCAACAAGGTGGGCACCCAGCAGATGTGCTTGTCAGCTCAGGGGGGACCAGCCTTTTCTGGGTTGCCCCCCACATCTTCACTTGGCTCCATTTCCTGGGGGGAGCATGGCCCAGAGATGAAAAAAGGCCCAGAATGGTGAAGGTGGGCCCAGGGCACTGCCCAGAGACCTTCCCCACTGATACCTCCTTGGGTTGGCAATGCCAGGCATGGGCAAGGGACCCAGAGCAGGGCTGCGCCCACAGCTGGCCTTGGTGGGGCTCGGCCACCCTCCCACCCACAGGTGGCATGTGTGGCCGTCACAGCTGTCATGCACCTCCTCTTTTTGGTCGCATTCTCCTGGATGCTGGTGGAGGGCCTCCTGCTGTGGAGCAAGGTGGTGGTCGTGAGCATGTGCCCGGGCCCCAGGATGACGCTCTACTACGCCACAGGCTGGGGTGAGGCCCCTCGGCTCTCTGCTTCCGCTCTGTTCTCAACTCTTCCTCGTGCGGCCTCTTGCTGTTCAGCACCGCCCGATCCCCATCTCCACCAGGCACCCAGCACCCATCTCTGACGCAAGCTCAAGTTGCTCAGCTCTATCACCCCCCAGCGTTGCCCAGCCCCAGCCCCTCTTCATCATCTCCCTCTCCAACCACGTCAACTCCCGACTGCTAGCGCTGCCTCCCTGATCCGTGGCCCGCTGACCCGCATGCCGGTCACCACCCTCCTTCTCCACTGATTCCCATCCCTAAGCTCTCAGCTCCATCCCAGATGTCCCGCTCCCCAGCCCCTCGGGGCTCCGAGGCGCCCCCGGAGGATCAGGCCCACCCAGCCCCCTGCCCAGATCTCCCCGTGCCCACCAGGGCGCCTGCTGCCGTGGGACAGCTATGGGCGGCAGCTCTGGGGTAGGGCCAGGTCCGCGAGAGGACAGGCTGCGAGGCGTGGTCCCGAGGGCACTCATTCTTCTCCTTGGTGTGCCTGTGGCCATTGTGGCCATCACCCTGGCCATGTCCCCCCATGACTATGTGGCCGCCGGGCACTGCTGGCTCAATGTACACACAGACACCATCTGGGCCTTTGTGGGCCCTGTGCTCTTCGTGCTGACTGTGAGCGGGGAGGCCTGGGGGGAGGCAGGGCGGGTCACGCTGGGGAAGGGGGAGGCCCTTTCACCCGCTGACGCCCGGTCTCCAGGCCAACACTTGCATCCTGGTCCGCGTGGGCATGGTCACTGTGGCCAGTGCCCGCCGCCGTGCCCGCATGCTGAGCCCACAGCCCTGCCTGCAGGAGCAGGTCAGGATCCAGACATGGTGAGGCCCGGAAGTGGGGGGAGCGGATGGGAGGCTCATCAGATGGGAGCCTATGTGAGTCCGTGGCAGCAGGATGTGGACCTGAGGCCATGTGCATTCACGGATGCAAAGCTATCCCTGAGCATAAGTGTGCACATGCGTCCCTGCTCGTGTGCGGACGTGGGTGAGCATGCGCCCACGCATGTCACCTGTGGGATGGTAATCAGTCCTAAGTGTCAACGAGTGGGAGGCCATGTAGACACGAGCCGCTTTCCTGGGAGCTCGCCGTCTACTGATGGCACCGATGGCCTGGTAGGGACAAGGTAGGGGAGACCCCCAGATCAGGCGGTCCCCAGAAGTTCAGGTTCAGAGTGAGGATTTAGGTCCCCACCCCTGCAGGAACTCCCCTCACTCTCCAGGGCCATGTCCTGCTGAAAGGAGGATCCCCCTGCCCTTGCTTTCCCCCACCCCATCCTTGGCAACCCAAGCCAGTGGGTCCCCGAAAAGCCAGGGAGCCCCAGGGGTCCCTAATAAGGGAAGACTTTGGACTCCAGGCCCCCTGGATCCACTGCCTCCGCCTTAGCCCTCCCTCTGGACAGCTGCGACACCCTTCCTCTGAGCCAGGATTGGGACTGGGACCCCATCTCACCAGTGCCAACCATTTCTGGGTTTGAGAAGGGACAGCCAAGTCCGGCTGAAGATTCCGGCTACACCTAAGTCCTGAGCAGGGGACCCCGGTCGGCCACTCCGACCCCTCTCCATACACCTCCCACGTGCTGCCCTTCCCAGTAGCCTGCAGGGGCTCCCAGGCCACCCCGGCCTCCCTCAGCCCTGCCTGCTCTCCTGCAGGGCCACGGTGAAGCGGGTGCTGGTCCTGCTGCCCGTCCTGGGCCTGACCTGGCTGGTCGGCATGCTGGTGCACCTCAGCCCAGCCTGGGCCTACGCCGCCGTGGGCCTCAATTCCTTTCGGGTACTTCCAGGCCCTGGGCTCTGACATGCCGTGGAGCTCAGAGGGAGTGACTGGTTTGTCAGGAGACGGGAAAGGAGTGTCCTCTCCGTCATGGGAGTCACTGACAGCGACCAGGGGACGTTGTCAAGAGGCAGGAGGGTGAGGGCAAGAGTGGGAACCAAGCCTCGAATCACAGAAGCAGCACATCAGGGAGGATTTTGTGCCCACAGTTGACAGTCAAGGGAGCTGAGGTCCAGACACTCAGGGGTGTGGCAGAGGTTCCAGGCTCCTGGCTGGTGCAAGAGCTACTTGAGGCCTCGGACACCCGTGACCTGTCCCCTCGGGCTCAGTGGGTGGCCCGCTGTGGGGCAGCGTTAGGCGCTGCACTGGTGAGGGCAACAGTTAGAGAGGGCTTGGTCAGGAGGACGACGCTCAGCCCACATGAACGAGGCGGTCCCAGTGACGCTGCAGCAGGCCTCCCGCGGGCCTGTGTCTGGGAGCCACGGAGAGGGGTCAGGCCCCTGTGCCCAGGGGGTTTGCGGTCCCGTGGGGGGACCCAGATACAGACACAGACAGGCACACCCCAGGGGCCTGAGTTCTGGGAGGGAGGTGGGTCCAAGCAGGGCCTCTCTGGCCCTGCCCTTCCCCTCAGCCTTCCTTGCGCCCCCGGCAGCGCTTCTGCTGCCCGCCCCTACTCCTCCCAGCTCCTGTCAGGGCTGAGAAAGGGAGTGGCTCGGGGGTGGACAAAGAAAGCTCAGGAAATGAGGTACAAATTCTGCCCGGGGCCCATGTGTCCCAGAGCTCCTCCTGGGGACCTGCTCGCCTCCCCTGGGATGAAGGGGCCAGTCATTCATCCATCCTCGTGATATTTGTCGAATGCCTAGGAGGTGCCAGGCACCAGGCACTGTTCCAGGCGGGGGGACAGAGCAGGAACAGAGGCTGCAAAATGCCGTGTTCTTGTAGAGCTGACCATGGCCAAGGCCAGTTGTGAAGTGTTGGCGGGGGGAGGGCAGCAGGGATCGAGGAAGGGTGCCGAGGGTGGTGACTAGCAGGTCCCGGTCCACGTCGCCTTCTCGCCCTGGGCCGTGGGGACGCGCCACTCTCAGCCAGGCGTGGGAGTGGAGAGAGGAAAGAAGGGGCTGCTGCTGGGGGAGCATGGAGGCCATGCCCAGAGAGGCGCCCAGAAAATGAAGAAAAACGGGGCTTCCAGCTACTCCCAAGGACGCACGGCTCCCAGAGACCTGTGTGGGCCTGAGCAGTGGGGGGCGGAGGGCAGCGCCGCACCCCTTCCCGGACCCAGAGCAGCCCTTCCTCAAGCCCCACGCTTCCAGAGCATCCTGGGTTCAAATGTGGGCCCTGCCGGGTTAGGCTGCGACCCTGCCTGGGGTGCCCCCACCCCCCTGCGGGGGTGGCCGGGGCAGCAGCAGGCCATTGCCATGGTGACCACGGCGGTCATCCCTGTGGTGGCCCTCCGGTGGGCAGCGCTGTGGCCGCAGAACCAGTGGCACCTCTCGTCCCCCTCCCTCCGACCCCCTCCCCATCCTTTCCGCTCCCCTTGTCTCGCTTCTTCATCTCTTCTCTGAATTTTCTCTGCGGTTCCTTCTCTGTCCCCTCCTCCTCTGGCATGGCCCTCCCTCTGTGTCTCCCTTTCTGTTGACCCCTGACCCCCCCACCCCCGCCGGCTTTTGTCCTTGAGCATGACCCCTCTCCCCCTCTCAGTCAGCCGCAGACCTTCCTTGCCGAGGTCTCCTGGTGAAGGAGGGAAGAGGCTGCCTTGTGGGGTCAGATGGCGCGTGACCTGGGCCCGCCCGGACGTTCCCGGGACCATCTCCACGCAGGTCCCCCAGTCAGGCTGCCTTCTCCGGGTCCCTCCCGACGCCTGGCCTTTCCTCTCCTCTGTCTTCCCTCCACCTGCCGTCCCTCCCTGTCTTCCTCACCCTGCTCACCTCCAGGTGTCCCTCTGTCACTGTGGGGCATCAGCCGGGCAGGACCTGCCCTCAGGACCGCCCTCCTTCCCTGGAGCCGGCCTGGGGCAGAGGGACTGAACTCGGCTGGGCCTCAGCCACTCTTCAGGGCTGACGTGTCTCCCTGTGGCTCCTGGGCAGGGTTTTGTGACGGGAGAGCTGAGCCGCACTTCTAACCAGCTCTGGTTCCTGGGGCGGAGGGAGTCCTGTTGGGAGGCCCGGACAAGTTGAAACAAGCCTCAGCTTCCACGTCTCTATACAGGGATCCTACTCTCCATCTCCATGGGATCCTTGTGGGGTTCAAGTGAGGTGACATTTGCAAAGGGCAAAGCACCACACGCGGCACCCGCCGGGAGCACCATGAGCAGGCGCGGATTTGTTTCCTTCAGGCTCTGGGGGCCCGCGCTGGGCCACGTACTGCAGAGAGCCTGCTAGTGCGCAGGATCCCAGCACTGAGCCACACACCCACAGCATGGCATGATGGAGGCCGAGAGGCTGAGGGAACGTGGGGGCAGGCTGGGGACAGAGGAGCCACTCATGGGGAGGCAGAAAGGGTGCTTCCTGGAGGAAGTGATTGCCGGCCAATACCCAAACTCAATGAGAGAGAGGAATGTTTTAGGTCAGGGGAGCATGGTGGGATCCAACGGACACGTGAAGTGGGGACACGTGAGCTGGTGAGAATGGGACAAGAGGAGGTGTGGGGGCCAGACGAGGTCCCCAGAGCTGTTGTAAGGAGCTCAGATGTGATCCCAGGGGTGCCAGGGAGCCTCGGAGAATGTTAGGCAGGTAGGTGCTTGTGGGGTTGGGGTAGAGTTTGAAAAGCTGCCTTTGTTCGGGTGGGAGGAGCGGAGTGGGTAAAAGGCTGCAGAGGGGAGACAGGCTGGCTGGGGGGAGGGGAGGCCTGGGGGCACCAGGGCCTGTCTTAGGGTGAAGGGTGGTATCAACCCAGTTGCGGCCTAAGAACCAGGGGGAGCAGTCAGGCTCTGAGGCTGAAGCTAGAAGGCCTCCAGGAGGCCCGCTGGACACCAACCTGTGTCCTCCAGTCTGAGCCTCAGGGCAGGGGATATTTCCTGTCCAGGTAGAATCTGAGGAAGGCCTAGGCTCCAAATTCTACCTGCTGGGTCACACTTTGGCCTGGGACTCATTGCTCTGTCCCCTGCCCCAGGCCCCACGGTCCCTCTCCATCAAACAGGAAGAATTAATCCACACTGCCCCAGCATGGAGCTGCTATGAGGGTTGTCACCCCAAGTGTGATGGTACTTTGTGAGTGGCCAGGCCCTCTTGGTCCTCACGTGTGTGGGCAGGAAGAGCCAGCTACGACCCAGCCACCCTGCTGAGTCCTTCACACACAGCAGGAGCTGAGTCCGGGCTTCTGCTTTCCAGGTGAAGAGACAGAGGGTCAGAGAGACACTCGGCTAGAGGCACAAATCAGCATGCATTCACACGTCTGCTGTCCCAGGACTTGATTTAGCCTCGATTTTAGGAAGGTGTTCCCCTACCACCACCACCCACTCTTGCAGCCATGATGAGGCTGTGAGAATGGGGCAGGTTGGGGTGGGGGGACACAGAGGGACAAGAGGGCAGAGAGGCTGTCTGGTGGCCCGAGGCTGAAGGCATGGGGTCGAGTGGGGAAAGGCCCCTTCTGGTTCTCTCTGCCATAGAATGTCACAGATGTCCCCTCCCAAGTGCAGGAGAGGGGCAGGGCAGGATTTGTGTTCATCAGCCTGTGTCTCTCAATATCTCTGGGTATCTCTGGGTGTGTCTCTGTTGTGGCCGCAGGGCCAAGGGGGGGTGACACCCACCCACATGCTGGGTCTATCCCCAGGGGCCATACATCTTCCTGGTTTATGCTGCCTACAATGGGGAGGTGAGTTGGGGACACCGGCTGCTGGGGGGTGGGGTGGGCAGGGCTAACTCACAGGGCCCCTATGGCTGGGGGTCAGGGGGAGGGTCCTAGGCCTGACCCTGATGCCCAACCCCCAGGTCCGGAGCGCCCTGCAGAGGATGACGGAGAAAAAGACAACAGAGGCCTTCACGGTGGGTGTGGGCAGGTGGGGATCCTGGGGCGGGAGGTCCCACTCACCACCAGGATTCCAGTGCCCACACCGCTTCCTTTCAGGCCTGCTCCAGCCCCATGGGGTTCCTGGGTCCCTGGGAGGTGGCGCAGGACAACCCTGTAGCTTTGGTTCCAGCCCGAAGACATTTGGCTGTTAGACGTAAGGCCACACCAGCCCCCACTCTGAGTACTACCCAGAGCCTCAGTTTCCCCAGTGCTCAGGTAAAGCTGGGAAGGCGATGGCAGATCCTATTAGCCCATCCGAAAGACAAAGAGACTGAGGCCCAGAGAATTCTGCAAGCACGGGGCCTGGGGGATGGCTTAGGAATGGCTTATTTTTTTCCACCACCACCAGGGAACAAGGGCCCCAGCTGCCTGGCCCCGAAGCAGGGCTTGCCCAGGGCCACCTCCCTTGGGTCTCCATGCAAAGGGGGTTTGGGGGTCCCAAAGCCAGGTGAATAGATGAGGTTTGGGGCCCTGAGACAGAGCATGGGCTAAATGACTTCAAGCCCAGTCCAGGAGTTTCAGTCCCAGCTCCTAGTTCACCTGCTGTGTGCCCTTGGGCATGTTACCTTCCCTCTCTGGGCCTTAGTTTCTTCATCATTAATCTGTGGAGTAAACCTTTGAGTGGATCCTTAGGGTCTTTGATAACGAGGTCCTGTCCAGGGCGGGAGAGCAGAGAGAGAGCTTCCTGCCTCAACCTCCGAAAAGTTCACCTACTCCAGTGTTTTTCTCCTGTAGGGACCCGCAGCCCCAGAATCCCCACAACCTTCTCCTCCATTGCAGAACCTGAGAGACCGGTGAGGCTGGGACAGGGGTGGCAGGGTCTTGCCAGGGGGCTAGCAAGTATGTCCCACAGGGCGGGGGAAACCACAGGGACCAGGGGAGGGTTGGGGTAAGGGGGCTTCCTCTTGGGATCCAAGGGGCCCTATTCCTCAGTTACCAGGTGGTAGGGCACTGGGAACCGCCCGGAGGTGCTGACTACGCACAGGCAAAACCTGAATGCCAAGGCCACTGGGGGTGGAGGAGTCATCACCAAGGTCGCCCAGGGTCCCCAGGGCAAGGGGGAGTGGAAGGAGTGGGGGACTCCTCCCCTGACGACCTCCTCTGTCCTCAGGCTGTGGAGCTGACAGCATTCAAGGCGTCAGGTACAGCTCCCACCCCAGCGGGTTCCCCTTTTCCCCTTGGCACCTGGACGCCCCCCCTCAGCTCCACTGCACCAGGATGGAAGTGATCTGAGAAGCGAGCGCACCTGACCTCCCACTACTTGCGGGGCCCTTCCTCTTGTTCTGCTCCTTGTCGGTGCCGAAAGTCCCCCATTAGCACACTGGGGGCCTGTCAGCAAAGTGCAGTGCTCTTTGGGAGAGGCACACTCCGGATAGATTTGGGACCCCTTCGCAGAGCCGGTGCTGCGGGAGGGGCAGTGAGCTAGGAGCCTTCCTTCCTCTGTGCACCCACTCCATCTGGCCCCCCAGGCCCAGCCTCCTGGCCGCACCCCTCCCAGAGTCCCTATCCTGATGCCTCGTGGGCTGAAACGACTTCCAAACCTGGTGAGAAGCAAGTGCTCTTTCCTCGCAGGCTCCGTTCCCCCAAGTGGAGGGCTGATGGGGGCCGGTGGGCAGCGGGGCAAAGCTGGGGCCACCCCAGTCCCTGCTCAGGGAGAGGACTGAGTCTGGGGAGCTCAGCCTGGCCCAAGGGGAGCCGAGGGGCCTCTGGCCACTGTCAGCCTCTCTCAGCCTGAGTCCCCCAGTCTTAGAACACAGCTGACTGTAGGAGGGGCTGCCAGGCACTGCCCCGCCTCAAACCGGGGGATCCTTCCCAGCGTGGGCAGGACGCCCGTTTGTGCGGCTCGAACTGGGGCTGGGCTCTGGGCTAAAGCCCTGCGTTGGCTGACACCTTTAATCTGGGGACCTGGGGAAACTATCCTCCCATCGTGCCGATGGGGAAAATGAGGCACCGGGGCAGTCACATAGGTGTGCACATTCGAAACCCAGGTCTGTAGGACCCCAGGCTCCCGCGGGCCTCCTCCCCTGCCTGGTGTCCCAGTCCCAGGGAGCCTCAGCACCCCCTTCCGCAACGTAGGCAGGGGGCGCCCCCTGCAGGCCAGCGCGCGGTGGGCCTGCCGCAGGGCC